ATATGTCATGAATTAGTGTGTGCATGTGTGATGGACTATTACTTTGACATACCACACATGAGTCAATACCATATATGTTGCTAGCTCAATGACACATAGAAGGCACACAAATGTGCACTACATGGGCAGAGGACTTCATCAAGTGTGGAATGTGACTGATTGGCCCCACTTAGCTATTGACTTGAGGTAGAGCCTACAATAGCACAATAATAGAGCAATGTGCATGAAAGTGTGTAACACAAGATTATCATAGGCATGTTGTAAGCACACACAAGGAACAACACATAAGATAGTTGGCGTAGGCACGCTAACTTAGTGTGTAAGTATAATATGAGCATATCTTAATAGTCAGAAGGATAATGTGAAATGATACTAATAGGATAGTGAAGTCATAATGATTTCTTAATTGTTCAATAGTGTAGGACAACATTCAAGGCAATATAATAGGTTGGTATATAAATATAACATATTCTTATAATGACCATATTAATATTGTAACAACACATTAGTTCAATTAGGGAAGGGAAACTTTCATTCTTTCCTCTATAAAGAAGAGTCATCAGTGGCATAGAGGAGGTATCATGAGTCACTAAGTGAACTCAATCTCTTAATACTCCTCTCCCCCTTTATATTCTCAAATCATAATATAAGACATTGCGTTAAAGTTTTACACATGTACTTCTATTTACATTCTTCAAATTACTTGAAAAAAATGGTTGGCTACATGGGTGAGATGTTAGACATCTAAGGCCACTTGTAAAGATTGTCTAACTAATAATGACTAGATTATCCATGTGACCAATGACTTAAGGATGATATTTACTCTCTTGATACAGATATAATAGTATCAATATGTTTCTTTTGTTTATTCAAGGTCACCTCCACGCAATGACATACATATAGATTAGATTGGGTTGTTGATCTAAATTTGTAAATAAATGAGAGATATGACTCTCATGCTTTATTTACATTCTTTAAATCTAGATGGTAATCCACTACTAGTCTTTTGATATAAATGATACTTCTTTTTGCTATCCATAAAAAACATGAAATCTTATTCTTATATTTAAAACTCGAGCCCTAATTTTAAGTTCACTCACATTGGTGGCCACAAAATGTCTTTAATTTTTCTCTTAGTCACTAAGAAGTTTCTATTACTTGTGCTCAAATATTCTGTTTCAATGAGAGATGTTGATAATTTTTCACATTATGAAGAGTCATTTTCTTAGTTCATGCATAATTCTCTTGATTTGAGTGAGAAAACAATGATATATATGGTAGAAAATAGAGGATAAGACTGATTGAACTCTAATGATGACTGTAGTAATTGCATGATGAGCCCTATAACAAGTAAATGAGAGATCTTATAATTAATTCTTTTTTATATTTCATGAGAGATTTTATAATAAATAAATAATAAAATCATATTAATATTGTACAAAACAAAGGTCTCCACTTATCCTACCCTCAAGTGCCCTCACTAGCATAGTGTGTAAAAAGATATATTGACAAGAAATTGATCGACATTTCTTCTTTTCAAGTATTCCTTTGTACTTGATTCTATCAATCACAACATTTTACTCTATCATTAGTGATTGTCATTACATATGTTTCTTTTCCTTATTGACTATTAATTTGATTTCTTAATTTTAATTGAATGTGTTTTTATTCTCTATTATTCAATGAATATTGATAGTTTTTACAAATATTGTGAAGAGTAATTATTAAGATAAGAAATAATTCATTCTAAAAATACAGTCAAACTTTGAGATACCAATTCAAGTAAAATAATTTAGGTGAGGCAACTTGAGACATATGGAAATTGTGGATTGTTTTTATGATATTATAGTTCCTTTATATTTATCTTGTGAGTTGTGTTATAACTAGTTTTTGATTCTCATGAGGATAAAATATTTCAATAAATAAAGTATGTGCTACTTGATTGTTGAATAGCACAATGTGTATATATATATACATATATATACATATAGAGAAATAGAGAGAGAGAGAGAGAGAGAGAGAGAGAGAGAGAGAGAGAGAGAGAGAGAGAGAGAGAGAAGTTCAAAGTCTTAATGAAAATACTACATTTTCTTATCAATCAACATATCTTTTAAGCTCTCAAAAATAGAAGCTATTAAAAAACAACTTAAAAAATTTATCTTTCAATGTCTAAGAATTTGAATTTAAATGTTTAACTTTCATGTTGCTCACAATGGTAGTAACAACATCCTTGTGAATGATCACCAATCTCACTTTTATTTTTCATTTTTAGATAGATGCGCTGGTGACCTTGTTATGTAAACTTAATGGACATTTGAAATTGGCCAAATTAGAACAATGAGGAGACCATCCACAAAGGATAATAAATCTAGTCAAGTAGCATACAGATCGACTACCACATAGGAAGTATGTGCTCCTCTAATTATCTTATTTTTTATATCAAGTCCTCAAGAAGTTCTTCTATTTTGAGTCTCCATCAAGTCATTTATAACACATGTAATATTTTTGAACTTTTAATTTCCTCTAAATAATTTCATTACACATGATCAAAGATAATTTGGTCACTTGCTCAACCTTTGATTCTTATTTTGATAAGAGGAGATATGAACATTGTCTTAATGAGCAAAACAAACAACATGCTATTGGTTGAATATATATGAATATGATAGTACATTGCTGCATTTTCATTGAACAAGAAGTAATTTTTTTATTATGTGATTTAATTTTAAATTCACATGGTAAAATGATGTTTCTTCCAACACATTACTGTTTACGTATAAATATATTTATATGGAGATAGAGAGATTAAATATGTCAACTAAGATAATATTTAGGTGTCATAATTTGCACAAGAAAGCAAACAAACTTTGCTACTTCGAGTGTTGATATTTGACATTGAATAAACAAGCCTTACCTATTGTACCATTGTGTGCTCATGTAATCTTGGATAAGAGACAAGCAAAAATAAACAATCCAAATCTAACATCCTTTGAACTCATCTTTCACATTTCAAATTGCAAAAATGCTATTAGGCATGAAGTTTCTAAGTTGTTGATTTTTACTTCTTAGTAAATAGATTATTTCCATTCATGTTTTTGGGGCTTTCATGTTGATATCTCCCTAAATTTAGTTACCACCATACTTAATCCCCCACTATGGTGTATAGCACACAAACTTTCTTTGTCCCCACATTTCATCTTTTATCACTCATACCCATAGCATGGAGTAGTTGACTTGGATACTTACTATTTCAAATCTATGAATTATTGCTAGAGTAATTGATTGTTGCCACATTGCATTCCTAGGAGGATGGAGAAATTATAGTCACTAATTACACTTTTATCTCTTTACTGTGCCTTTACTTGCTTTTCAATACCTCCTGTAGATGCCATTGTGTGGGTCATCAAATTTCAATTTTTCAAATTTGTTCATTGCCTAAGTATTGTTTTAGGGTCAATTAATAATATGGTATGTCAAAATGATATCCTCCAATGCTCATATCAAAAGTTTCATTTCATTTATCATATGGGTTCTCGAATATCAACATGTTCTGTTAAAGTGAGTTATTCATGAGATACAATTAATTTTAACATTCAAAATTGTTGCTTGTTTCTTTTTATAATTAAATCAATTTATAGTACCACATTTTTTTTACACATTGAGCCATAATCTATGTTGAACAATCAAGTCAATGCTATATCAATCATAACAACCCATCTAAATTTTAAGTCCTAAAAATGAATCCTAAAAGATGTTTGGTTGTACATATACACTAGATAATGCATTTGATATGGTAAATGGATGTAGAAGGTAATGAACATGATTCCAAGCTTTCGTGCTGATAATGATTGTTGAACATCGAGGATCATCATGATCAGAATTTTCAGACTTGGTGTATTTTCTCCACTCTACAGGTATCAATATCTCTAAAGATTCTCAGATATTTTCGAGATACTCTTTTGTTTCATTTATTGTGTTTAGTAACACATCGAGTCTTGCTTTCAAGAGATGGACGATTGAAGCGGTCTTCCAGCGGGTGCAATGTCGTAGTCATCTTTTCTGTGTACCTCCTATTAATTACAGCTGTCTTTTTCCACATTCTTCTCAGAAGACTGGCCTTTCGCCTTCCTGTTGCTTCGTAATTCACTGTTCTCAATCAGGCCTGGCTTTCCTTGTCCCTTTAAATTTGTCCTACTGCACCCCTTCTCCTCTCTGATGAACATTTACGAGAGGCGGAGCGAGGAGGAAAGAGAGGGGAGAGGAAGTGTAGGAGAAGGGAACTCATTAAACGTTACAACCTCGAGATCTTGAAAGAACGCAAGAACGTTCCGATGAGAGCTCGAGCGAGAAGAAAGGATACAACTTACCTTTTATTCTGACCGAATCTCCCCAGATCACGTCAGGTAATCCATGCGTGCCATCACCTTATCATGCTTCGTTGTGTTCTGTGTTTGACTTTTATTTTATCTCTGAGAAGAGCGAGAGAGATGAGCTTGGGATCGGTGCGCTGTGTGGTTCTCTCGCCTAGGGTTTTGCATCAGGAGAGTAATTATTCCTTACATGACGGAATACCCCGTCATTTTGAATTCCGGGCTCGGTAAACTATTGCGGGAAGAGAATCAGGTAGGAAGGAAACTACATCCGGCAGAACAAAACTTTTCGCAGCCTTGGCAATTAATATCGAGAAAAATTCATGCAACAGTCACAATGAATCATCCACTCTCCCCTCCAGCAAGCACAGTTTAAGATTATGATGGGCTTCAACCCTCCTGTCTGTAAGCCGTTCATTTCATCGCTTCGTGACAAAAACCAAGCTTTTCCCCTAGTGTTTTCTCGAACCTAAGCGATATGATCACATAGCTCTGAGTGGATGCTACTCACTGTTTATCCGGCAAAAATAAAAAACAGAACCTGAACAATTTAGCTGTGGGCTGTTTTTGTGATTCTCGTCTATTTTCTTGTTATTTGCTCTTCGTATTGTTGTCCTGGTGCAGCTGGAGATGGCATCTTCAAACACTTCCTACTCTCCCTGCGCTGCCTGCAAGTTCTTGAGGAGGAAATGCATGCCAGGCTGCATCTTCGCACCCTACTTCCCACCAGAGGAGCCTCAGAAGTTCTCTAACGTCCATAAGATATTCGGAGCAAGCAACGTCACCAAGATCCTCAACGATCTCCTCCCCCACCAGCGAGAAGATGCGGTCAACTCCCTTGCCTACGAAGCCGAGGCTCGCATCAAAGATCCAGTCTACGGATGCGTTGGGGCAATCTCCGTCCTCCAGAGGCAAGTCCAGAGGTTGCAGAAGGAGCTTGACGCCGCAAACGCCGAGCTGCTTCGTTATGCTTGCAACGACATTCCGACAGGGATGCCTGTGGGGCCGCTGGTAGCGCCACCCTCATCGGTTGCGACCCACCAAGGAATTGAGTTTCGTAGGGTGATTGCGAATGGGGGAGGCTCCTTCTTTCCAATCACTGGTTTGCCCATTTCTTTTCCTCCTGCGTGGGGTGGTACTACTCTCTCTGCAGACCTGGGTGAAAGGCAAAGAAGGGAGAATCACATATGACCTTGGGAGAGGATGGTTTCGTTATTTTGCTCAGTTTTTAGGGTCTCATCCCCTTCTGGTTTCCTGGATCCTAGATGAGCTGATAAGGCATGTACGGGTGTGCTTTCTAATATCATTTCTACGTCTGAAAACCTTCTCAAATAATGGGTACATAATATAATGTTTACAAAGGGGATCCACGTTATGATGCTGTGGAATTAAGCTCAAGAAGAGCCTCATGATGAAGCTTAGATTGCCTGCGAAGAGTTAGGGACTCTTTGGTATAAATTTTCTAACACAGTCTCAGTAAGAAGTGAATATGTATGCTCATGTTTTATCTCCCATTCAGATTTTCTTATTCTTGTTTTTTGAGTTTTCTCAAGTCATTTCCCTTTCTCAGGACAATTAAAGAGGTGGGTACAAGTTTTGATCACTCCTGTCTAGCTCATACCTTCAAATCTAAAACATTCAGGCAGTTTACCCATTATGAACGTCTCATCGTTGGTTTTTTCTTGCATTGGCCCAATATTGGTAAGTTAAATGCTTAAAGCAGTTTTGTCATGACATTTAAAACGGTCACGAGCCACTGTTTCTCTCGGCGTCCATGTCTTCCATCAAGAACACTACCATGGTTTCAGATTTCTTTTAACCTTCTCAAGATAGAATATCCGTTAATCTCTATTCCCTCGTCGAGAATATCACCCTTCTCTGTCTCTGTCTCTGTCTCTGTCTCTGTCTGTCTCTCGCTCTCGCTCGCGCGCGCACGCGTCTTTCTGCGTTGAATATACCACTGCGATATACTAGCTTTCTTCGATAATTCTTCAACGAGTGAATTTAACGACCGCTACATATCGTGGCTTTCGAAAAAATGATGGGAGAACGCCGTGTAAATTAACTCGCCGCAGGGGGTAGTTGCAATTGATTTTCTGATAAGCATCTTATCAGGCGCTCATCCCAGATAGCCTACGAATCCTCCACTTGGCGGGACTCCACGCCCGTGCTGAGGCCAGGCACATCAAAGATCAGTGACTGATTGGACAGCTTGTTCAGAACTTTATTGACCATCCGAAAGGATGAGAGATGATGAGAAGCTACAGAAATCTCTCTTCTTGATGAAATCTACGTCGCCATTTCTCGTGGGAAGAGTCCAAATGGTGATCGTACGGCCAGAATCCATTTTCACGTGTAACTACACGAATTTTTTTGTTTGGTCTACCATTTAACCCTGATAAGACAGACGAGGAATTCTACGCTCACAGGTTTCTAGAGATACTCCCTCGGTCGTTTCTCGGACTCATTTCACAGCCTTTAATGGGCATTCCCTTGGTTATTTCGACTGACACTGGTTCTAATACGGTGCTTGAAGCAGCTAGGAAGATGGACAATCGGTCGCGTCCTTGTTTAACCTTATCCAACTCTCCGAAATCCTT